AGGACTCAAACCCAGCCACACACCACAATTCAGAACCCAGGCAGGACCGCCACGCTGTCCTGGCCCTAGCAGACACAGCCACCTCAGGATGGGTCTGGGACTTCCTCCGAAGGGCAGTCACTCCGCAGAGGGGACACGCCCACGGCCAGGCCGGTGAAGGCCCCAGGGCCTGGGCAAGTCTCTTCCCAGCTCTGGGCCTCCGTTTCTCCTCAAGGCAACAAACACTTGACCAAGGTGGCTCCAGAGAGCCTCCCCGGCCGAAAGCTGATGGGATGGCCTCCATGAATCTGGGTGGGGGTGCAGGGGACCCCAGTCTGAAGGGCTCGACGTCTGACCGGCATCCTGGCAGACTGGTGCCAGTGTGAGCGGCACAAACGCCCAAACCTGCCTGCAAAGCCCTAACTTCAACTCTGCCTCTGACCCAGAGTGACCTCAGGCCTGTCACGTCACCTCTTTGAGCCTCAGCTTCCTCTTCTGTACAATGGGACCGTGACAGCACTGACTTCATCTCGGACTCTGAGATGACGTGTGCAGTTCACACAGGCAGCTGCAGCTGCTGGCACCTGGGGGGGGTGCAGCTCACAGTCCGCGTGTGGCCACAGTGAGGATTACTCAGTCTGCGCCAATCTCCCAGCTCCAAGACTGACTGCTTTGGGGAGGAGGAGGGGCCCCGTGAGCGAGTGCTTCCAGAGCAGATCAGCGCCCGCCCGGAAGTTTCGCCCAGAAGTTTCGGGAAAGGAGACACAGGCCACCAGGGAGCAGACTCACTCCTGGCGGGGAGGAGCTCGGGGAGCCGAGGGCTCCACGCTTTCTGGGCAGCTTCTACCTGTTCTACAAATATGGTGCCTTTTGCAGGAGAAACACGGATCAGATGTAATCATGGGAGAAGCGTGATTTAACGGTGCCTGGCCCCCTAGCTTCCTGGCTCTGCCTCTGGCGGCCCTACAGCGGCAGCCTGGTGTGAGGGGCCCCTCCCAAGCCGCCCCCAGGTCCCGGCCTTGGCCTCAGCCTCGTTCTTCACACGCAGCCCCCTCTTCCCAGCAGCTTCCCTGCTACCCTTCAAGGGGAAATGCCAAAACACTCTTGGAAAACGAGGGCCCATTGTACTTAAACAATAGGACCCTGAGGACTGCTTCCTACCCAGGGATAAAAATATTTACCGGAAAAGAAAATGATTCCCCCTACCCACCACCCCACACGCGGGCTGTGCCCAGGTCACAGCTGCGGGTCAGTGGGCTATATTTAGGCCAGGGCCCACTCTCATCCCGCGTCCCAAACCCCAGGTCTTCTAGAAAGAGCTGAGAGAGCCCTCCCGACACCCTGCTGAGACCCTGCAGGCCCCAGGCCTCCGCTTAGGACAGGAGCCAGGACTCAGGGGCAGTGGGAGGCTGTGGCAGTTGGGGCTCAGCAACCCGCCCCACCCCACCCCCCAAGTCCACCCCCAGATCCTGGGCAGCCAAGAATGGGTGGTTGGTTGTGGGTTTGGGTTTTATTTTTAAGACTTTCAAATGGCAGCGTCGTGTTTCCATTGGAAGGTCTGCAGGAAATGAAACAGAACCGACCGCCCAGGCAAAATATTTTGGATTCTGCAAAGCTCTCCAATACCACGGTGGGACTCTTCGGGGTGGGGGTGGGGGGGTGAATGGTCAGCGCACAGACCCTGTTCCAACAGCCCCAGTTCCAGCCCCAGCTCCGCCGCCCACGCCAGGGCAGCCTGCGCAAGCACCGGGACCTCTCCACGCCTCAGCGCCCACAGCTGGACGAACCATGCCCCCTTAAAACACCTGCTACTATTTTATTACTTCTGTTTTGATTATGACTATACCTATTTTATTATTGTTTCTTATAAACACAATGTGATGATGACGACGATGATTAATATCATTACTTCTATTACTATAATATTGCTGTCACGACTTAGCATCGTGATGGCCAATTTCCTGAGTGACAAAATGGGACCAAATCTCCTTGCTTCCCAGGGGTTGTGGATGATTTCTGTTACTCTCCTTGCTTCCGTGTTAGTTCTGTTTTCCTACAACGAATCTGCACCGTGAGTGCTGAGGGCACTTCTCACACAGAGTAAAGGCTTGTGCTGTCCGCCAGCCCCCACTGCTGTCTTCGGTTATTGGGACCTGGATCCCTGGGACATTTCTTTCCAAACAGGGAGCCATTCCAGCTCTGCCCACTCGACGTAGCTCACCTGCCTCCTTTCCTGTCACCCAGGTGTGCACCTGCCAGACCCCCAGGCCCCTCTGTGCGCCTCTGTCCTCCTTGTCAGAAGGTCGGAGGTGACCATGACACCAAGAGAACAGCCTTGGCTGGTTCCAAAGTCAAAGGAACATGTGATGCTCTGAGAGGCTCTGACACACAGTCCTGACCTCCCCTCCACCCCAAGCAGGCTGGGCGATGAGGCGTGGAGAGGCAGAAAGAGCCCTAAGCTAGGAATCCGACCCTGGCTCAGAGTCCTGCCTCCGCCATCCCGGGCGAGC